ACTTCTGGAATCGACATATGACATCAAATCAATATAAACGACAAACAAAAATGGAGGACAGGTCGTGAAGAGCCGTCTCAGCATCTGTTTCGAAGATCAGGGATCTTAGTACGGATATCAGGTCTGCCAGTGCGGATTCGAACCCGGGACATCTCCAATATGAATAGGCGTTGTTGTTATACTTTATTCCCACATGCTGACTTATGCAGCAGAAAGGAGAGCACATACTTTCTAGACCAAGAAAGTGACAAAATAAGCGAGATGAATTTGAAAGCACTGTGCTTAATTAATTAAGCACCACGCCATGAAGAAGTATGGGGGAGTGGAGGTATAGCTGCATAGTTCTTGACCTCCGCACAAGATGAGGTAAGTGGCTTGCCTTTTTACTCCTCGGAGAAAGAGTTCCCGGTGCCCACTGGATGGGAGGCGAGGCGAGAATGCATAACGAGGAGCGATGAAGTGAATGAGCACGTCTCGAGAGTGACACCAGACAGAAGTTTAATAAATGAAAGAGAGAGCTTTCCTACAGGCAGGCCACATGGAACATTAACGAGAACGCATGTTGTGGTCACCTGATCACATGCCAAAGCTTGCAGGTTGCATAACGTCGGAACTCTGTCCCAGACAAGTAACATGGACCATGTTTTGAGAGTTACGAAGCAGAGGATGTTTGCTAGGATACGGTTGCCAAGGATACAGAACCTCTAGTTTCTAAGGTAAAAGGCAGACGGACGATTCCAAGGCCACGTACACCTTACTGTAACCTTCACTTCCAAACTCTTGTTTTCCTCCCTGTCGTGTGTAGCTAACCACTAGAGTCGTTGCGAAAAACAGACCGCCCGCTAAACTATTGGGAAGGTCCGGGTCGAGTTCAAGTTACGAAACTCACCCTTGTTCAATTAACTGGTTTACTAAGAAACGTCTTTCGTTCCCTGAGTTATTCAACTCGCTCTGGGCAGGTGGACACATCCCGTCTTTTCAGAACTCACCAGAATATCGTTTTGCACGCTTAATTAAGCACCCTCTTCAAAGCGCCGTCACCACGCGATCTCTCTCTGTGATACCTCTCAACTGAAAACAGGTCGGACAGGATATGTCCGTCTTTTTGAAAAAGAAACAATAAGTTATGGGAAGAACTAATCGCATACTTTCCTTGATACCATACGGACCGCACAGAAGACACGTCCAACAATTCTTCTACGGTTGCGTGTGTATTCGTTGTCGCTGCAACGTTTTTACCAAGCCGTTGCCTAGTAACGGCACGGGGATACACATAGACTGATGAGAGGGATTTATGAAGTACGCCGTTGGGACGGGCTCAGGCGTCATGACATACATATCAGATTCCATAAAGACTGGTACAGGGATGAATACGGGGGGGAGGGGACAGACAGACATAGTGAAATCATAGACCTACTTTTATTTTTCAAAATAAGGATGGTAGGCTAAAAAGCGTTAAAAGTTTAGCACTTCGTGTTTTACTGAACTCTACACTTTTATATAAATCTGTGAACATGTTTATATTCTCTCAAATTGCAAAATCATTATTAAAACCAAAATATCAGTCGAGGCTGTCGCTTTATTTTCCATTTGCACTAGAAACCTTCAGTGACACAGAAGTTTTTGGGATCTACCTGCATGCTGACAAAGTCAGAGGACCGCCGTGTTGAAATCATTATAGGTCGAGTAACCTTCCACCACGTTTCCATTGCATCGGCGAGCCGGTTGATAATGTCCGGTGTACTTAGACCTATATAAGGGCGGTTTACCCTGCAGAAGTCAGCTCAGATAGCCCATAAAGGACGAAGGATACTGAACAGCTTATTCCTAATATCAGGCTAAGCGGTCTCCGTAGCCTAGAGGTAACGTTTCCACCTCATGACTCGTGGTACGCGGGTTCAAATACCCGGCGGAGGTCGTCGAATTTTTAAGGGCGGAAAAATTCAGGGAACAAGTCCTCGGGGAGGGACTTTAAGCCGTGTGTCCCGTGTCGTAGCTTTACGGCACGTAAAAGAACCTCATATCTCCAAAGGAGATCACTGAGCCAAATTCAAGGACGTTTCCCGCCCAACAAGTAGTCTCTAACACCTCTGATAGATGGGGGAAGCATTATAGATACCGCCAAGCTAGTGGAGGCCGAACTCGCTGGCTCGGTCGGGACTGATGGTACGCACCAATATCGGTAGGACATAGAGACTGGTAGAATATCATAGATGGAAGCACAATGGACCAATACTGGTCTAAGTGCATGGGGAAACCCACCCTCTCCAATAACTAACTAATATCAGGCGATTACAGAATTAACATACTTTACCAACAACGCGTTTATATGTTTGTTTCTTGGTTTGTTAAACGATGCTGTATCGCCTGCAAGTGTTAAATGGAATCGATTAAGAAAACAGCAGGGTCGCAGCCGAGATCGGATGTCAGGACCTGCCGTGCCGGTATAGGAACCCACAACATGAAGTGACAGCTGGAATTACATTACAAAACGCACAAAGAAATGCTAATGTTGCCCCTTTACATAAGAACTCCGCCATGTCAGCGTATTAAGGGGTCCTTTCAATTCTGCATTTCAGCGCTAGATGTCGGTGAGTGGTTAGTTTCACGCTCCGGCCGGAGATAGAAGCATCTGTACTCGCGTTAGAGAGGGCTCGGTGGTCCTCACAGTCAATATGGACAGTGGTCGAGAGGTAACTGGGAGAAACCACAAGAACCATGAATGATGACGTCAATCAATTATACGAAGAAGCCATTCTATCAGAAGAAATCTGATACGAGCTGTTAAACGGAGCCAAGTTCCAGCTGCAGTAGAGATGATAATGAAGAAAGTGCTGATGACATGACCTGGCAGGGACAGAGGTCAGGTCACATTCCAGCGTCACTCGTTTTAAAAAGACGTTAAACATGGCCGCCGCTGGCTAGATAATGCTGTCAGCTGCCAATTGTATCAATCAGCGGGAATGGAAACGCTGTGGGCTGCGACACCAAATTTCTGGCAAAGATTCTTTTCACATAAAGTTGAACATTATACTTCAAGATACGTTTACGTGTCCTAACAAATATCAGCTGCCTACCGAGTGATCGACAGATATAGACCTTCTTCCTGCCTTCATGTGAGCTCTTTGTATTACTCAAATTTCAGATAATCATGGGGAAATGAACTGTTCCCTTCCTTGGAAGACCAGTCCGTCTCATAGTGTGTAACCCTACACACACAAAAAGGCGAACACACATCCAAAATCAGAGCGGGAATCGAATCCAGGACCCAATATAGTGTTCTTGGAACCAAAAATCGCCCATACGTCTGACGGTATCGCATATTCTTTGCCCAGAAGCTGCAATCGTCACGCGAACTGTTGCACGCACAAGACACACTGGCTGCCAGCGAACGCACCGCACCTTGTAGGGTCTATTATTATGTAAAATTACTGTACATTTGCATAGTCGCTTTCATCGCTTCTTAGAGCCTTTAAGATCTTTTTAAGTTCTAATGTCTTTCTTTGGGTGCTGTTAGATGCATAATGAATTATAAATAATTATGAATACATTTAGAATGGTGACAAGTGACAACCATCAGTGGGATTCAATCAACTGTGACCAATTGGGACACGCCGTTCATTCACTGTGGAGACGCTACGGTACAAAGCTATTTATACAACACTGCGAGGCCCACAATTTCCATCTGTATAGACTCTACTTGGAATTGGACTGGCCGTAACGAGCAGTGTCGCACTCGCCGCTAGTTTCAGAGATGGGTGCAGCTGAGTAAGAACAGGAGGGATTGCAGATGAAGCGATGGACACTGCCTATGATTTGTGCCAATTTTCATTCCACCGACTGCTCCACAATCACCATCATGCATCATCTGAGTCTGGTACAATAGGCCAGTAGTGGTCGCAGTACCAAGTGGACTCAGCCTCACCCCATTAATCCGTGGCCTGTAGTCCGCAAGCGAACTATATCGACAGAGCGACCGCCACTTGTCGGTGAAGTTAGTGCTAACTTTTGCGGATAGAGAGTGTCACGTGGTCAGCACAAAGGACCCCCACGGCCGTTGATCTTGGTTTTCTAGACCGGATCACCCCATTAAATAATAATAATAATAATAATAATAATCTGCTTGGTAATATACATGCAGTGACTCTTTTTCTTAAGAGAATGTATGATCATTACGTTTCGTTTCTTAAAACTGTCAAATCGATTGTGTACTGTCCTAGTTTTCTCGCGAAAGGTAGACCAATGAGTTTAGCTAACTGTAATGTATTAGGCCTATGCATATGTGAAAGTTCAAGGTGAATACAATTGAACACTTTACAATTTAAATCGCTATTCAAAGCCTTGAACGGATATGATACTAACTTTTTTTTTCTGGCTGAATCTTAAAACCAAGGCCGGTCATTACTAAAGCCACATATGCCTACTGCTCACAGCCTTGGGGCGCACACACATGGGTCAGTGGATACAATACAATCATTTTCTAAATCATTTGAATCAGCAAAAACATTACAGGGCACTAGGCTTGTTATGACACCGCGTAGTCTGGTAGATGACTATTAAGAGTATCGAAGGGGCCTCTTGCCTGTATCTTTAGGCTAGAAGTGACAAGTTTATATTACAGATATGAATAATAAAATATTCTGACGTTGAGGCACGCGGTAGCGCAGGTGGTTCAGGCATTATGCTACAAGCCGGAAGGTCGCGGGTTCGATTACCGAAGAGATCATTGGATTTCTCAATTAACCTAATCCTTCCAGCCGCACTATGGTCCCGGGGTCGCCTCAGTCTCTAACAGAAATGGACACCAGGAATATTATTAGGGGAAAAGGGTGGCCGGGGAGTAAGGGTGACCTCACCGCCATTTGTGAGCCGATTGCCTGGAGCCTCGATGTCTCATAACTCTATGGGCTTCCACAATCTGTTATAGGGTTAGCTTTACTTTAATTATGACATGTTTCGTTTCCAATAAATGAATGATTATTCGTTTGTGGTTTATTTACCTCCTCCTTGGTGGCTTTGAGTGACGTAGGATCTACACTTGTCACCACGAATCCTCCTCCTCTTTGCAATCTTACCTGCGAACAAAAGAAAAGGGCCGTACACTATATAGTCATACAGGTTCTCTCGCGATACTGGTCAGAAGTTACCACCGTCACCGCAAAGTCCATTACATGACTGCAGACTGCCGTCACGGTTTTCGGGGTTTCCTGAAGATGTCGCCGCCAAAATTCCGTGTATTTTCGCACTGTGGCCTTAACTCAACACACTAACAATACTAGAGAAGCAGACATAGCAATTTCCCCTCTTGCGTACTTAGGGCCGTGGAATATTCCAGGGCAGTGAACTAGACGACGGGTAAGGGTTGCACCCTCCAGATCAGAGATAAAGCGGAGGAGGTTGAAGCTACACCTCCAGTTCCCATACGTCTTCGCGCTGTGGAACTTATTGTTAAGCATATGGACACGTGTTCATGGCCTATGTCCACGGTTTCGGGCTTACAAGATTACATAAAAGCATAAAAACGAACTAAATCACATGACAATTTAGGAAACAATATTGTTTGAGTTATTGTTTCAACTGACATTTCTGTATCAATATAAGAGCCAATTTTACCGACCACACAACATATTTTTATTATAAAATTAATAGAAAGTCCGTCGAGTGTAACAATTTGTAGGTCACTTCTTTATCACTTCTGCCTTACATGTTTCGGTTTGACACAACCATCATCAGAGGCACTTACTACTATTATGAAAACACTGTCGTTGTTTATGATGTTCACAGTTATGTTGTTGTGTGGACGCTGCTACGATATGTTGACGTGTAAAAGCACAACACTTGCTAGGATAGTTGAGTACACTATCAATTCTCACTTTCCATCCGAAACTGTTTTTTAGGTTAAAACGCTAATGTTAAAATATTTAAAACATTTGATGTAAAATGCTAAGCTCCTCCTTGTTAATTCATCCCGAAGATGGGAGATGTCAGCTTGAGGTTGTATGGCTTATGGTTAAATGTTTCCTATGTGCTGTGTGTTGTGTACAATTCAAAATATTTTTATTATTATTATACTACATGTTTCGACCTCAAGAGGTCATCCTCAGGTGTACGAACACAGCTGTATAATTACACGCAATCACATTCGTAGACCTGAGGATGACCACTTGAGGTCGATACATGTAGTGTAATTATAATAATAAAAATATGTTGTGTAGTCGGTAAAATTGACTCTAATATTGATTAAATAGACAACAGGATGCAAGAAACAATTAAAGTGACATTTCTGTATGACTATGAGTCTGTTCTGATTATACAGGGTGCCCCAGTAGAAAAAGGTCAATATTCTGGGAGGTCATAGTATGGGTCACTCTAAGCAAAGAAGTATATGTACGTGTGTCCTATTCCGAACGGTTTCCGAGATACAGCTACTACAGTAGTTTGGATTTGGCGCCCAATACTGTCCTTCCTTCCCGCACGTGAATCGGTGTGCAGCGTCAGTTGGCCGTTGTGATATCGTACGAATGTCTCCTCACACGAGTTGCAAACCGCACTGATGTTGACGGTGAAATTTTCGGAAAAGTATTACACTAGGTAAACTGTACCAACTTTGTCACTTGAACAATACATACCGGTACTAGAAACAGTACGTAGTATCTCTTTCTTATCAACAGTTTTGGGACTGTACAGTGAAATAGCTCTATCTCGGAAACCGTTCGGAATAGGACACATGTACATATATTTTTGCGTAGAATGACCTTTTCTCCTGGGACATCTTGAATTTTCACATCAGTCTGTATACCGTTATAATGCATTATGATTTAATATTATTTTGTAAACACCATCCAATTACAATACAAAGTAATATTTACCCAATACTAAGACATGTTTCGACTCTCAGAGAGTCGTCATCAGAGGTATTCTATTAACCAATACTTTTAGTGCGACCACTAAAATATTGTTCATTCAACCCTAAAACTTACATACGTGTACAATTAACAGAAACAAACGTGGTAAAGTGTACTGGTGTTATATTGACAGCAAACATTACAAGCGTTGTACACCCGCCGAGGGGAATTTTCAATTCTTATCCTATTACAGATAATTATAAAAACTGTACAAAAATATTGAGTCGATTGCCTCTAATTAGATTGTCTAACGTGATGCTCACTTGTTTTATCCATAAATAGGATGGTTTCTCCCCCTTCCCCCCCCTTGGCACTACAGCCCCAGTGGGCCTAGGCCTACCTCCATGAACTTCTCCGTTCACTTCGGTTTCTCTAGATCTTACACATTCGGTAGGACTCCTTGGGCGGGTGATCAGCTCGTCGCAAGGCCTCTACCCGTACACAAACACAGAAACTTGCACACACACAAATGAAACATCCATGCCCTGAGTAGGATTCGAACCCACGATCCCGGTTTCCAAGCGAGCGAAGACAGTACATGCCTTAGACCGCTCGGCTACTGTGACCGGCAGTGTATAAGAATAATATATAAGAATTCAGTTCGTACCTCACAGGAAACAGATCCGAACCCACGATCCCGGTTTCCAAGCGAGCGAAGACAGTACATGCCTTAGACGGCTCGGCTACTGTGACCGGCTTTTTCCCCCTCTACCCTGGCTAGTATTAACCTGTTTCAAGAGCGCATGCGTCATTTGTGGACCTGGCGGTTCTCAACAACACTAGGGTTGTATGGGCAGCTGCAAACACTGCCCGGCTACTTCTCAAGCGAAATGCAGAGGGCACGTCTAAAAACACAAAACAGGCTGTGGTGAAAATCCAGATTTGCCTGCGGGCAACATTGACCCCAAAGACCCCAAACTTTAAGTGTAAACGTTCTGCGTAAAATTTCGATGGCTTTTGTCCGAGTTGCTTGATGCAGACAGACGGACGACCTGTCGCGCCTTGCAAGGCATTTATATTACCACGAACTCTCTGATTCAAAAGAGTTAACGTTTCGAGAAAAAATTCTTTATACATGGCACTCCGTTTCTAGATGGCGCTGGCGTTGCGAAGTCGGTGACTCTGGTTGTCGTCGTGCCCTTCCAGATTCTTTTGTTTGGCCGTTAGACGCCGGGCGCCACAGACAGACGGATAGACAGTGAGACAGACTTGGAAGGCCCGTTCTTCCTACCCTGCTTGAGAGATTAATGGATCATTTTTCTTCTTTTCCCGCTATTCCGAGCCTGGCGGTAGCTGCGTTCCCTGCAGATATACCGTTCCGACTCCAACCAAGCCCCGGAACTGCGTTCCACAACTTCTCTAAACCAAAGCAAGAAACTGCTACTTAGAACTTCAGTCAAGATGGAATTCAGAGCATTTCACAGTGGCCTTAAGGATTAAACGCAATGACTGTAAAGTTGCGTAGCGGGAGATATACAGAACAAAGAAAGTAGTGTATATAGGACTCCTTTACCCCGAAAATGGAGGGGACAGGACCCTCCAAAATACTGGCACAGAGCGTCACATCCCAGAAGCCCGTGACCTCAGTTCGCATGGCCAACAGAAGCCAATATGTCGTTGAGCGAGGAGAATCCTCCTTAAGCTAGCCAAGACATGGAAACCGAGGGTTCATTATCCTGTCAATAAGAGCCCGTCACTCGACCTTATCATCACTCTCACGCCCAATTTGCTTTCACATTCATTCTAATAGCATCTTCCCATCTGTTTATGGTTCTGCGTGTGCTTCTCTTCTCCGCAAATTGAAACATGTCCTACCCATTTCGTTTATTTACCGTAATTATATCTGGTGGCTCGGACGCGGGAGACAATGAATGCATACAGAATTTTTGTGAAGAAACATTCTAGAAGACATTCTCTTAGGCTACCGAGATACACATGGGAAGATAATATTAAAACTGATCTTAGAGAATGAAACCGTGATGATCGGAGGTTGGCAGAGCTGCTTACGGATCACGTTCAAACACAAGCTTTTGGCTTAGCGGCACTGAACCTTCAAATTCTAACACTACTGTGTTGGTTAATCGTGAGGATCAGATCTTGTGGGACGTTACGCAGTGCAGTCTGGTAGCCTAGCTGCCTTTTAACACGACACGGACAGGTCCAACAATCCTTCTATTGTTGCGTGTATTCGTTGCAGCGGTAACGTTTCTTTTACCGAGCCGTTGCCTAGTAATGATAAGGGGATACACAGATAGACAGACTGATGGGAGGGAGTTATGAAGTACGCTGTTGAGGTGCCAAGTTTAATTATGATTGATACAGACATCCAAAAGTTACTGGTAGAGGGGGGGATTCGCGGATAGACACACAGACAGTATGCTGATCTCAGGTTGTACTCGACCGCTACACCAGCAATCGTGACCCCGTTTCTTCTTGCTTTACCGCAGCCCACCTAAACCTGGAAGTTCAGGCGGTGTAGCGAGTAAGCAGGCCATGGACTGACATTTTCCTCTCCACACTGGCTCTGGGGCCCTCCGAACCTCCTATCCAGTGGGTATAGGGAGCTCTATCCCTGGGGATAATGCGGGCGGGGCCTGCAACCAACCACTCACCTACATCTAATGCCGAAGTTAAAAGACCGGAGCTATACCTCCATCCCCACATGTCATTCCCGGCTTGTGGCTTGTAGACCCGTTACTGAGGAGGGACACTGTAGACAGCGACCTTTGCTAGGTAACGTCCGAAACATACACGCATGCAATAACAGAACGGCGTTTTTACGTGATCCCTCGACAATTGTTGTGCAACGGCGTGGTAAACACGCTTCTGTAACAATAGAGGATCTGTGTTTTCTGCGTGGTCCGTGCCGAAGAGTTGTCCGGAAAACAACTGGCGCTGCACTTCTGTTGAAGAGTTCAGGTGTGGGGTATTAACCAGCGGGAAGATCCGTTAGCAAGAAACGTCTAGTGAAAACAATGCAGAGGGACAGCCATCGTTGAGAGCCGTAACCATGCAACGACTATTGAAAGCAGAACGAGAAGATTCAGCGTGTAGTGATCTGTAGTTTCGAGCGGTGTGTATACGTTCGTCAGTAAATCCAATATCCAATCCACACCCCAACACGTGACAATGTTTAACTAAGCACTGAGCACCTCTGCCTTTAAGGGAGT